AGTTTACGTATGCAGGCTACTAGCATCCTAGTCGTCTCCTCGATGCCTTGACCCCCGTCCTTGTTTCAGGCGGCCGAGGTGGCGATACACGTATGGCAAGCAAGACTGCGGAAACAAGAGTCTATCTATGTTGACAAGCTACACCCAAATACGTCTTCCAAGGCACAGGGGTATCCCAGCAATCGATCACGTTGTTGGCCAGTATCGCGAGGCTGATTGCTTCCCAGCACACCAGCACGCGGATTGAAATATCGTGTGCATGTTTAGAGTTCGACAATGGACAAGTCACGCGGTGGATAAACTGCGCACCGAGTACTAGGTACGACGCAGCGTTGCCGTCATGCCCAGAACAAGTTCGCCATGGATGATAACCTTCGTTAAACCTCCTTGCGCCTAAAAAATCTTGTGCCTCACAAGCGACGCACCCCCCACCACCACCACACACAATTGCTGCTGCTGTGAAGTACATAGAGTTACACACAGAGGTAAAGAGCCCTCATGTAGCATCACACAAGTCATGCCGCAGCGGGTGCCTCACCGCTTGCGATCGCCTCCATGTCACCGTAGAAGGGGCTACTGCGCTTGAGCTCTGTGTCCAACTCAACGAGCCTTGCTGCCATTAGCCCTCGGTTCTGCTCCCTCGACATGCCCTTGATGCCGCGGCGCGTGCAGAGTCTCGAAAGAAGCACCGCCGGCATGTCCCTGTACTCCATTTTCTTCTCGAAAGCCCTCGCGGCAGCTGTCATCACCTTCTTCGACTCAGCCTTTCCTGAATCCGCGCTCCCACCGGCACCGCCATCCCCATCCCTGCCGTTGCCCGTGCTGTTGGCCTTGGCCTTGCCCTTGCCCTTGCCCTTGCCCTTCGGCCTCTCCGCGGCTGCGGGTGGATTGTTCTCTGCGCGCCCCTGGTCCGTCTCGCTCCCCTCGTCGGTGTCGGTGTCATCGAGCAAACTGCCGAGGGAGGGCGTGATGGGTATCGGGGGGAGTTCGTTCTCCAAGTCCTTCTCCAAGTCCGAGTCCCCTTCGTCGGTGTTATTCCCGAGCGTGTCCGCGCGACCAGATCCGTCAGCGGACAGGTTGCCAGCGTTCACCGAGCGACCTTGATGGCGGGGCTCCAAGGCCCGCCGTTGCACCGCTGTTGTCTGACCTCCCAAGTGCATGCGGCGTCCGTCCCGCTTTTTCGCCGCCACGGCGACCCCGGCGGCTTGCGACAGCATCGTAAGGGGGCATCGCGAACCCTCCGCTTCTACGGCAGCGGCGGGGGCGGCCACGCGCAGCCGGCGAGAGGCGTGGCTCGGGAGAGGGTCGCGGCCGCGGCCGTTGTCATCATCAACGGCGGCAGCAGACTGCTGCAACCCATGACCCAACCCATGACCACAGGCAGCACCACTTTCGCCTGTGTTGTCGTATCTCGCGGGTCGGCGATGGCCCCTCGGCGGCCTGCCGCCGGTAGGTCCGCTGTTCTCGTCGCTCTGCATGTTTGTACGCTGGCGCTGCCGCCTGCCTGAAGGCTGTGGTGTGTAAATGCTGTACGTTTTCAAACCGAAAAGTCTGAGAAATTCAAAAAATGGACCG